GCCTCGAGTTCTTTCACTACCACTCTAGGGGGGGGGCGGCTTGTTTTACAACGTCGTTGCCAAGCGACGAAAGCCCAACCCTGATGGCAAACACCGGGGGGGGAACAGAGGCCAGCAAGTGCTGCTCAGTTTTGGGTCAGAGGGAGTCTGCAGGGGACACGAGAGACCGAACTTTCCGCTCAATATAGTAGGAATCGTTAGGGGGAAGAGAAGACCATTGTTGCCGCTCGGTACACAGTGAGTCAATGAGGGGACGAGAGATCACCATTACCGTTCAATACACATATTAACTCCTGGGCGGTCGGTATGTTGTACCAACGTCATGCCGGTCCTATGACACAAGTAAGGCGTACACCTATTCACGAGCAACTCCCTTCCCCCCGGTCGTCCCGCCCCCGTCCCCCGGCGTGTTCTCTCTTCACCCTCGTGGTGGTGGCGGCGGCGGCGGGGGAACAACACTGTTTGCTTCTTCTTCTACACCGGCGCGAAAAACATCGAACAACGCAACCAAAACAAGCCTGTTCTGGGGTTTCTTTCGGGGAGACTGTTCAACCTTCCGCCGGGTCTTGCTGCCGGAGTTACCCTTGTCGGTTGCTGTCCAGGTAGGTCGGTAGGGAGTCGGGGGCGGGGTACGGGGGAGAGAGAGACTTTTGCTTTTTGTCACGCGACGGAGACTGGGCTGGGGGTGTCTGCCGTCTTCCGGGAGCAGTAACTACCCTACGGGCTGGTATCCGACTGGATGAGGGGTAGAGCGGAGCGGGAGGGTTGGCATTAGTTCCACGCGATAGTCCTGCCGCGCTGATGTGCTCGTGTTCGGCTCTAAGAGTAGGGCTGAGATTTTTAATCTACCGGAATATGCTTGTTCTACCCGATATGTACAATTTATAGTTTGTTCTGCCGTGCGTTTTTTTGGTGTGTGGCGGTGGCAGGAGCGACCGCCGGGTGCTGGGTGACCAAATTGAACAATTTCGTTACAGTATTGCTGGGTGCGGGCTTGTAAGGGTTTGGTGTGCCATGGCGTAGTCTACGACGCACTGTGTACACACCGTTCATGCGATGGGTGACACGAGGTACATACGTTCTGCGGGGAAGCAATGCATGAGTTGTGTGTAGGTTACATTGGATGATGCCAGGAATACTCGCATCGCAGATGAGTGAGTGATGCGCGAACAATGCCCTCATCGCAGGCTGGTGAGACCGCTACCTTTTAGCGTATTCTACAGAGCATTATCTTGAGAGAGCAATCCCACGTCAGGGCTACTTGCAAAAGTGTCTCCTTGCGCCTTGATTGGGGTGCATTGATCGGTGAAACCGTGCGCTGCAGCTCCAGCACACCGAAACGTCGACAACACTCCTCGATGTCCACCCCTCTGTTGTCCACCGCCGTAGGGGGCACGGCGTCGAACCTCGTCACCCTTATCGCGAACGGGGACGTGGCGCTGTCGGTGTCGATGACGACGGTGTCTACCCTGTTGGCGGCCGTAATCACGGGTCCCCTCACGAAGTTTCTCGTCGGCGCGCTGGTGGACATTAGCGCTGTGACTCTGATGAAGGCTACGGCGCAAGTGAGACCCAGTTGACTGGTGTTGTTGCTCCTAAGGATGCAGTCTCTCGTGTCGACCAGGCGTTTATAGCACTCTCCTGGACGATTCATCTAATACTCTTGTCCATAAGCTTTTTGTTTGTAAGGCATGGGTGCTTCTTCCACGACGCTCCCGTGATGCGGATAGACAAACACCCCACCCGCGTGGTGGTGGTGGGCACGTGTGTGTGCTTTTTTGGCTTGCTTCTTCCGTTACATGTTACGTCACAAGTAGCACCGTAGACCACCATCACCAACAACAACACCAACAACGACAACAACAACACACCAACAGCTACAAGACATCGCGACAAAAACAGGTGGTGTTTTTGCCGGTGGCGATGGGGCTGCTGCTGAACACAAGGGCCAAGGGGATCACCCGCCGCCTTGCCCCCTACACGCCGCTCCTGTGAGTATTCGTGTAAAGTTCGTTCCAATTCGACGGCCTTGTTACGAGAACGAAGCCGATTGTCCAGTGGGTCATCTTTGGTCCTTCGTCGTTGTTGTTTCTGTCCTGGCTCTGCTTCACCCTTGCGGCGATAGTTGGGGAAAACCACAAGAAACAAAGCGAGCAATAGCATTGGTTGTTGTATGCAAGCAGCAGCAGCAGCAGCAGCAGCAGCAGGTGGCTTCGAAAGAGGCCGAAAGAGAAGGGAGGTCGAACGTTGGCTCAAGGACCTTCATCGACCACCGAGATGAGGAAGCGAGAGACAAGGGCGACTCGCTCGTCATGCCCAAAGCTGCCCCCCCCCCCCCCCCCCCCCCCCCCCCCCCCCCCCCCCCCCC